GTCTGTTCCAGACCCCAGGCCACAGCTAGGGCCTCTCCCTCGACGGCCGCATAGCGCTGCTCCGCAGGGGACAGGAAACACGAACCCGCGAGGGTGATCCTCCATCCACCTGGACAGCAGTCCGGTATGCCCGAGGCACAGTGACAATGTTGCTGGAGCAGGAAGTAGCCAATGCCACGCATGGACCAGTCAGGGCGGAGGCAGGTACGCTTCTGCATGTCGTAGATCTCCACGCCCTCGCGGATGGCCTCCATTATGGCTTGCTTGGACGCCTGGAAGGCCTCCTCCAGAACGGGGGACCATAGGAACACACAGCGTGGGCTGAGGAACGGCTTAAATGGAGCCATCGTGTCACGCAACTGGGTGTAGTTGGCCACCTGGTTGACAAGGCCGAACCAACTCCTGATGTCCGTCGTGGAGCCAGGGGTGGGGAAGTCCCGGATGGCGTCCAAGTATTTCGGGAGCGGTTCGATGGTAGATTCCGACACCCTGAAGCCAGCGAAATCGACGCACCTCTCCGCGAACTGAAACTTGTCTGAGTTCAACACGATTTCCGACCGGCCGACACGCGTCAGGAAGTCGATGGTCCTCCACCAGTGTTGCTCCAGGTCGGTGTCATAGAGGATGGTGTCATCCATGCAACGTTCCTTGCGTTCATAGTGCGAGAGGACGGCATCAAACCGACGGTTGTAGCCATCCCCTGATGACAGGAAGCCCTGTGGTGCCCTGGTGTAGCGCCAACGGCCGAAGGGTGTGATGAAGGTAGTGAGGTGGCGATCCGACTCACGCAGGGGGACACTGTGGTAGCCGTTCCAGGCATCCGTGACGGTCTTCCAGGTGCCCTTCGGGACGCGGCGTGCAAGGTGGAACGGGGACTCAGTGGCGAAGGTCTCACGTTGGCAGAACTTGTTAAGGGGGGAGAGGTCCACGGTCCTGCGTGGGGAACCGTCGTGCTTCCGAGTGACTACCATACGATGGCACCACGTCACTGGCTCGCCGTATGGCACACGTTCAATGACCCCAAGGGCTTCGTCCCGCAGGAGGTCATCGTAGACCCTCCGCTGCCAGTGTAGAGGCACTGTAGCCGCGGTGTGACATGCCCTAGGCGTAGCTGCGGGGTCCACGTGCATCTCGATAGGTGGCCCCTCCATGCATGGTAGTGCTCGATGGGGGCAAGTATTGAACGTCGACGAGGCATATCTCCCGAGTAGCCAATCTTTCATCCTGTTATTGTTCTCTGGCTTACAAGGGAACGGCAGTGCTACGGGGCGCGCCGGGGGGACCGTGCGCTGAGGACATGTGCACTGGGCGTCCCGGGGGTCACCTGGCCCCACGCAGCCGCCGTTGGCTGACCTCGTCGCATTGACGGACAAGGGCTGGTCTGGCGTGTCAGCCGTGTCAGGGCTACGCCTGTCCTTGTGCCCCCCTGCAACGTCGTCCGATGGGAAGTTCACGGGCAAGAGGCCGAGGTTGAGCAACGACTCGTAGGAAAGGTACATGGCCCGGACCGAGCTGCTCACATATACCATGGAACGGCAGGATGTGACACGCCCCCCGCTGCAGGTTGTCGAGAGCCTAGCGAAGAACGCTCCCTCGATGGTTATGGGGGAGTGGTTGGCGGCCGACAGGCTGAGGCTGACGGGTCGCAGGTCGTCCCGCGAGAAACCGCAGGCCAGGAACTCCTCCAGCGACCAAACGTCCGACTGCGCGCTAGTGTCCGCGACGGCGGATATCCGAGCTCCATCGGCCGAGCCCCGGTTGCCGGTGCCATCCCTCAGCCCGACTGGCATGTCCATCGAGATGGTGATTAATGCTCGGGGGTGGTCTCTCAGCCTGGCCCGTCTCCATTCGCCCTTGGAGAAGATGTGGTCCTCGAGTCTGATAGGTGCTTGCCTGTTGACACATCCGTGCGACGTAGGGGCGCGGTGTCGGCGATGGCTCCTGTGACGTCGGCCAGGGCGGGCCCCAGCTTGCACCGATGAGATCTGGGAGACCGGCTCCGACCCCATGGCGGCCTGTTGACAGTCGGACGACGGCTGTTGACGCCTCTGTCGTTGGCGGGCCCTGTAGCAGCCGATGCACACCTGGTGAGGCTTAGGATTCCACCCGCGAGGCCCCTCCGTGAAGACGTTAAAGACGCTCTTACATTCCGGGCACGAGGCACGTTTCGCCCCGTCCGCAGGGCTTGGGGTGGGGCTCGTCTGTGGAGTCGTCTTCAGGCGCCGGAATGACGACATGGCTGATAGGGAGGACGACGGGAGAGCGTTACGGGCCATCTCTCTGTTCTCGACGAGTGCAATTACGTCATTAACTGGCTTAACCAGGACGTCAGGTGTCCCCAGCGTCTCGCGGCGTATATCCGAGTCATAAATGCCATTGAGCAGAACATCACGGATGATGTGGTCGGTATAGTCCACGTCCTTACCACACTCGCATACCGCATTATATGCGCATGTCTCTGCTTTACCCCGCACTCTGGCAGCGAATACACGGAATGTCTCATCGCGTTCCTGGCGGAACTGAAGTAGCTCGGTGCGCAGGACGCATGTAGCGACTGGGATGACAGCTAGGGAACGCATGACGGTGATTAGGTGTGGCAAGGGTCCGGAAGCGGCGTCGGGGGCGGCTTTCAACAGGCTGTCTCCAAGTACAGGCCCAGCGCATTGAAACAGCTGGAAGGGGGCCTGGGCATCCCCTATGCCTGAGCCGGCGCGGAATACGTCCCAACGGCGGATGAACACGTTCCATTCCTCTATCGACACGCCCACATCAACTTTGGGCGGATCGAGTCTCGGGCCGTGAGGGGCTGGGGCCTGGGCTGGCGCGGCCATGACAGGCGCTGCGTACTGGTGGCTAAATCCATGAATCGTCAATATAATAATGACGAGTGCTTCAGACAAGTCTTCGGATTCGAACTCGCAGCCGGGGACGGGGCATCCAACAACGACCATGGTGTCGTCATGAAGAAACACACTCCTCAATGTCAGTTTCGGTACTTTAATGACAAGGATGACGACACCCTGAAACAGAGCAATGCCGCAGGATAAGCTGACAAAGTACTACATACATGCATGTCATGACCAATACACATATATTCAATTACATAGAGTAAAGACACACCAAACAATAGTGGAAACAGTCTTACATGAGTGAGTGGATGAACGTCTCAACTCGAGGCGGAGTGAATGAACAACATGTGAACTAAAATGGTCGCTCGGCACTTCCGGGTCAAAGCACGGCATACCCGGACAGCGACAGCAGTGACGCTGCCCTCTAGTGGCCGGCGATAAACTCTTCAATGGCGAATACAGTCGCTGCTTTATTTATGTCTGTATGACGTTGTTGTGAGTGTGGACGGAGCAGCAACAGGTTAGTTTAGCCTGATGGATCCGATTCCATTCAGAAAACACGCATTTTAAAAGCTTTTCGCCTGCCGTCTTGTCTGCAGACTTGTCAAAGCATTAATTCATGGTTTTTACTAACTGTTATCAGTATGTAGTTACTTCGGCATCACTTTGAAACGTGTATTACAATTAAATGACGGTCAAATATGTTCATTTTGTTGTATAATTTACATGGATACGCCCCGCCCCCTCTCCAGCGCCTCTTGTTTGAATGACAGGAGCAAACACAGCTGACAGCCGCGGTGAAACTCGAGCGATTAGAGCGATGCGAATATTGGGTGGTCTACCATAGTATTTACATGGAGATAAGCCCCTTAAAAACCATGAATTAATAAAGCATTAATTCTGTGTTTACTCCTGTCATTCAAACAAGACGATGGAGAGGGGGCGGGCCGTATCTCCATGTAAATCCTATTGGAATCGGATCGATCAGGCTAAACTAACCTGTAGCTGCTCCGTCCACGCTCACAACAACGTCATACATACATAAATAAAGCAGCGACTGTATTCGCCATGACATAGACAGTCTGTGTTTTGTATATGTTTAACTTTTGTCCAGTTTCTGAACAGATATGAGGAGCTGTGAGCTCTGAGTGTGTGCTAACGGCTAACGGCTGATGTGTTGGGCCAATCACGAAGCGTCATTTCTTGACTGGCAGCAAAAACAAGCAATCACAGCAGTGCTTCTCTGGCTGGCTCTGTCCAATCACAAACAAGAAGTGTTCTCCCTAAAGGAATACCCTTTCCGTCCAATGTGAAATGCTGTGGTGTTTTTCTGAAATGCTGTGGTGTTTTGTGAAATGCTGTTGTGTTTTGTGAAATGCTGTTGTGTTTTGTGAAATGCTGTGGCGTTGTGTGTAATGCTGCGGCGTTTTGTGAAATGCTGCGGCGTTTTGTGAAATGCTGTTGTGTTTTGTGAAATGCTGTGGCATTTTGTGAAATGCTGTGGCGTTTTGTGAAATGCTGTGGCGTTTTGTGAAATGCTGTGGTGTTTTGTGAAATGCTGCGGCGTTTTGTGAAATGCTGTTGTGTTTTGTGAAATGCTGTGGCGTTTTGTGAAATGCTGTGGCGTTGTGTGTAATGCTGGGGCATTTTGTGAAATGCTGCGGCGTTTTGTGAAATGCTGCGGCGTTTTGTGAAATGCTGTTGTGTTTTGTGAAATGCTGTGGCATTTTGTGAAATGCTGTGGCGTTTTGTGAAATGCTGCGGCGTTTTCTGAAATGCTGTTGTGTTTTGTGAAATGCTGTGGCGTTTTGTGAAATGCTGTGGTGTCCTGCACTTCAGGGCCACCGTAAAAAAGAGCCAAACACAGCTTAATGTTACCTAAGCATGCATACAAAAAAGATAATTTAAATGTTACACATTTTACAAAAATACACACCCTGTAACAGTTCTATACCAGCCATTAAACACTACAAATATAAATTAATGCATCAATAATGGACTTGCATTGCCATGCTTTACTTTCGGCAATTTCAGACGTATTTTTGTAAATTGAATTACAGAAGTGTTTCTGCATAAGCCCCTGTTTGTCTCCAGGCCTGCAGGGGGTGATAGTGGTCTGCTTGCTGTATTGAAACGACGCTAAAGTGCGTCGGTCGTCCAACGTTGGCGCCAGATGAGCTGTGGCGCCAGCAATACACAGAGGCAGAGAGAGAGGAAGACACATAGCAGTTTGACTAGCCTCACAACAGCCTGCAAAGCCCTTTCTCAACCCTGAGTTTGAAGCATATAAACGACTATTTTTTTCTCTCGTTCTTCAGCAATTAAAAAGTAAAAGGACATAAGGTGGGTGTGCATGCAAGCTTTTTTTAAACATGTATTTGTATTAATTCAAACCGTTTTGATCCGGACTCCTGGCGATTGTTAATGGTTTAAACTCTACTTAATGTTATTAACAGTAGCAGCGTTAAAGTAGAGGGTTGCTCTGTTTAACGGGGGGGGGGGGGATGTTTTTGTCTTTGTTATGATTAACTTTGGTAGTCAACGTTTGTGTTGTTTATTTTGTGTGTCCAGTTATGATAGTAACGAACTTTGTAATGGAAAAACACAGGGCATGGCTGGCTTTGGTTGATGCATTTAGTTATGTTGGAAACGCACAGGGAAATATTAATATAACGGTATGGATCTATTTCAGATTTGAGTCTCATCTAGGTTATTTCTGATACTTGTTCTTTATAGACTCGGCCTAGGCGCCTTTCTTCGCCTTTGCATGCGAAACCATACTTAACATGGTCTGATGGGCGGTAAAGCAGAGCTTCCGCTCCAATGTTTTACAATCTACAGGCTGCTACTAAACAGGAGAGCAGCCTTTAGCGTTGCTAGCAAACTGGATTAGCTGGCTTGTTAGCTTTGCATCATGGCTATGTAGCCAGCACGCTAATATTGTCTCGGCTGGGTAGCTGCTAACACCAGCAAGGCCGCCATTAAAGTCGTGTGTGCGGGTTGGTGCTGCCGCAGTAGAGGAGGGCTTTAGGGTCTTAGCCAAGATGTACATTGCCGCCTCAAGCAGCAGTTTAATTAGTTCTCTTGTCTTTTTCTGTTCGGTTGCCCTTCTTTAGAGCTGTTTCTGCCGTGGGACGTGTGTCTTGCCTGGATTGCTGTGTAAGTAGGGCGCATCCTTTCCCGGGCTTTTCGCGCAGCATTCATCGCCCTCACGGTTAGCCATCTTTGTTTCAGCTAGCCAACTCCTGGTTGGAAGTGCCGTGTGGCTCTTAGCGTGCTAACCTACTTACCATTAGCCTACGACGTTGCTATTCGTCGCTACTGCCTATTTTACGAGGATTTAATACGAACGACATACTGTCAAACGTGAGTTTTACCAGCTGTGTGTGTGTTTTTGACTTACTGCGACAGCGCTTCTGAGCCAGCTCTAATTCAATATGTTATGGAGGGCGGAAGCTAACGCTGCTAACTAGCTAGCGGCAGCCATCTTAGGCGAGCATGTAATCTTGGCTAGCTGGAAGTGCTGGTGTGGCACAACAAGATGGCCTGTTAATACTCGCACAAGGAGATTTTTCGCGTCGATCGAAGATTCATAAATAACACCATATTACCCATTTCGAATAATGTGTTAATGTGAGTATGTGGCTGTTTTCGGTGTCTTTACTATGTACTCGCGAGTTGCTTTTGCTATGAAGCTAGTTAGCTGGCTAAATTGCGATCACATTAGCAGCTAACACAATGCTCTCGTTAACCAGTCGCCCCTCGACCATAGCCAGCTAACTAGCTGCTATGAAGGCTATTTTGTAGCTGTTATTGAAGGCTAGCCACCAACAGTTCAATGTTTAACAACAATGCGTTGTTCTTTTGATGCCTCCACATATTTCAAGTCGTTTTTAGAAGTAATGCACGCAAACTGCGGAGACAATGGAAATATGTAGGCCGCGCAGGGTTTGGCTTGCGGATTAAGTACGAATTAGGGGGTTGATCACGACAACTTGATTTTATCATTTGTGTTAGCTAGTGATAGTTTGGCTACCAAATTGACAACTTTATATGATAAGTATTGCATCTGGCCGTTAATTTGATATGATGCACGCTGATATGGAAACCCATATAATAAAATATGAGCCGATGCATGGCTACATTTTAAACTACTTATTAAGCTTTCTGAATTGAAATGCAACCAATACTGTTTTAGAGAACAAACATAGACCAATGGGTACTCAAGCTACAAACTAGTTACACATATCTTGTGTGAAGGGCTTCCCCTTTGTTACACTTTTGATAAACCTATTGTGTTAACCAAACACTCACCAACCCTCGTCTTTGCTGTTGACACCAACCAAGAGCTATATTATGTGTTGGAGGTAGAAGTGCATGTCTGTCCTCGGAGAGCACAGGGAATGGGTGCTACTTTAAACGCATATTGCATATGTGCTTTACTCAGCTTTTTAAGATCAAATTATTAATATTAAAGATATAAGATGTACAATAAATACGGCAGCATAATCATAACAGCAACACTTATGATAATTAAACTGTACCTAAGAGTTCTGTAAAAAGAGTAAATTAAAACAACAAACTGCAAAAAACATAGACAAATAATTAATGTATTATGGATAATAATCTTAAAGTTGACTTTTCTTTTAGAAAGTCTGGCTTTAAATGTAGTATATGGTTTGTTGTCGACAGCAAAATTAGGACCAAAGTTCTAAAGCCAGTTTACAAATCAGCTGAAACACCACCACTAGGGTCTTTTCTATTTCAACAATATTACACTCTGATTACTTATCTGAAGTTTTTTTCATTCAAATCCAATAAATTAGTAGTTATTGGTTGTTGGTAATGGGATGTTGACGCAATATAGTTAAGTTCCTATGTAACTGATACACATATACCGGTTTTTGTTAGTAGCATAGTCATATAAATGAGGACAATCTTCTAATTTATGTTTTGTCTTTTCTGCAGGTCTGCACACTGACTAGAGCACCAGCGTGACGTGGCCCAAAACAAAGATCCATATCACCCGATTCTTTTTAGTGTGTCCCCTGTCCGGCTGAAAAACGGAGGTCGTGGGGCTGGAGTGTGTTCTCATGGCCGAGTCAGAGACTGAATGTGACACACCCGGCCTTGACACGCTTGGGTCGGAGTGTGTCATAGCCCACAGCCATGTTGACCTTCACTATGGAGCAGAAACGGAGATCATGACTGAAGAAAAGCGTGGACTAGAGCTGGAGATCCACGGCTCAGACTTAAAGATACAGGGACTGGGTTCAGATCTGGGAGCTGTAGCCTGTGTGGAGGCAATTGTAGCGGAGTCAGACCATGATTACATCAAGGTGGAACATGGAGAGATGCACTGTTTCACAGCTGCGGAAATCAAGACATCGGGAGGCGAGACTCTGCTGGGAGAGGTGCTGCTTAAGGGGGACAGCGAGCATGTGGTGAAAGTGGAGTCTGACCATGGCGGGGAGTTGACAGTCGAGTCTGAGAATGGTGTAATCATACATGAAGCCCATGGACTGCAGTGCAACGAGTGCGGAGAGATTTTTGGAAGCATAGCTGATCTTCACCAACACTTTGAGATCCATAAGGATCTGAACCCTTACATCTGTGTCCACTGTGGTGAAAGCTTTGCTGTGGAGGCCAGCCTCAAACAACACATGAAGATTCACATGAAAGAAAAGCCCTACGTCCCTCCTGGAGTTGAGATTATGGGCAAAGATGTTATCGATGCCTTCAGTCTCAAGTCTCATCAGATGATTCATTTGCCAGACAAGCCCCACAGATGCTCTGAGTGCGGTAAGAGCTTTGCCGCTGCCATCACCCTGAGAGAACACATGAAGATGCATTCAGAGGACAAGCCCTACAAGTGCACTCAGTGTAGGAAGAGCTTTGTCCGCAGAAGGCATCTGAAAAAGCATCAAGAGGTCCATGCACGAGAGAAGCCATATACCTGTGGCCAGTGTGGCAAAGGCTTTGCCACGACTTCCAACCTAAAGCAGCACCAGAAGACCCACGCTGCAGTCGTTCTCGGAGACAAACCCCACCGATGCGCACAGTGCGGAAAGTGTTTTGCGGCTGCTGCCACTCTGAGAGAGCACCAGAGGATCCACTCGGGCGAGAAGCCGTACAAATGCAACATGTGCAGGAAGAGTTTTGTCCGCAAACGCCATCTGAAGAAGCACCAGCAAGTCCATGCCGGAGGGAAGCCCTACACCTGCAGACATTGCAACAAAGGCTTCAATCATTCCTCCTCTCTCTCTCGCCACCACAAGACCCATCTGCAGAATCCAGTGTTTTCTCCACCTCAGCCTGGGAAAACCCTGTCCTACGGCACTCCCCCAAAGCAGAGGGTGCATCAGCAGGGAGACAAGCCCTACATGTGCCATCACTGTGATAAGGGCTTCAATCATTCCTCTTCCCTGTCCCGGCACCAAAGAGTCCACTCGGAGGGAAAGAGTTACACCTGCGCTCACTGTGGCAAAAGATTCAATCACTCCTCCTCCCTCGCCAGGCACCAGAGAGTTCACTTGGAGAGCAAACAACAACAGCAGCAGCAGCAGCAGCCCCAGCCACCACAATCGCCGCCGCAGCAGTACAACACCATCCCCACAGGGAAGGGATTCCCCAACAACGCCTTCCCAAAACAGCGCAGCCTGTCCGTTGAAAAACCATACAGGTGCTCCCACTGTGGAAAAGGCTTTAACCATTCATCTTCCCTTTCCAGACATCATAGGATCCATGTAGACCAGTGAGCACCCTCACAAGCTGTCCCATGCGAGAGTAAAAACCCCATCTCCCCCCTCTGTTTCTGTTCTACTAATGGTCCCATCATTGACATCACCACACCAAATGTCAGGCCAACTTATAGAGACAACAGTGGTCATGTCCGCTTTGGAGTGGCTGCAAATAAATGGACAGTAACACAAGTCTTCAGGTGTAAAATGGACCGTGTAGCCTGTAATTCAGAGCAGAACCCGGGACTTTGCGCTTAGTATGCAAAGGGTATAATAATAGATTGTGAAGGAGCCTCTATTCTTGTTAGTGATTGTGCTTCACTTCAGGACCTCTTTTGAACACTTTTAAAATAAAAAAATTAATGTGATTTGGTGATCTAAAATAATTGTTACCTGGGGGAAATATGCCTCTCCCTCTGTTGGTCTTTTTGATGATAATTGGGTTTATGTACCTTCAGGTGGGCACGTGTGCTTTTCAGCTGCATCTTTATCCAAGGCTACCAACAGAATTTGGCGAACAAAAAACATTTCTCAATTTCAATTGTTATTTCTTTTTCACCACCATAACCCATGTGTAACCAACATGCAAAATCCAATGTAAATACTGATTTTCTTTTATATATGTGTATAGGTGACTAGTGTGCTGTTCCAAAAGATTACATTTTTGATAGTAAGATCCACTTTGATCAACTTTGTCTCCACCATTTTTTTTTTCTTTTAGGAATTTAATTTGTTTTAAGTGTTGGAGAGCAACATGTTGAAGGCGTTCTCATGCGGCTTTGTTCTGGAATTTGGGCCCCATCAGACATGAGCCATCTTGTATATTTATACGGTTGTATTCTTGTATGTCTACGATGGGTTAGTGCTGCTGCATCGACTGTACAGAGAGCAATACCGGCGGACACCCTGATTCTATAATGACATGCAATTTAGTTATTAGGAAATGCATAATAGAAAATAAAAAACCTACTGGGTAGCATATTACAACAAGACCTGTGTCCTAATTATTTACTGTGCAGTTTCCGCTGTACCCCTTGCACCAAATGTACATGAAATGCAATATCACACTTTGTCTATTGCTTTGGAGACTAAATCAATATGTATAGAATATAGGTACCTCTTACTTTCTGCAAACTCACAATTTGATCTAAGAAAAGATTGTGTATACTACAGGAGGAAATCTCACTTTTACAAGACTTCAATGGTTTTTCCAAATTCAAATGGGTTGTGCTCTTATTTCTGTGTAAGATATCTTTTACAAACTGATGTATTTTTTTAGAAATGGCTTGGGTTATATGAAAGGGAATGAGAGATATACAGTTTTTATGGGAGTGAACATTACAGCGAGCAATATTTCCTTTTCCTTTTTCGGTTAACATTTGTGCTTCACACTGTAGCATAGATTTCTTCCTTGTGTTAGATAGGTGCCTTATTGCATGCTATGTAGAAATGTGTGCCGAGCTGTTATTTGAAAAAAGTTTCAGGGTTTTCAGGGGTCTTTTGTTCTTATTCATACTAACTTACCCTACATTTTAATTTGATGTCACTGATACCTATTGCTTTTGTTTTGCTTTCATGTATATTACCATGTGTTTACACTGTTATGACCATATTGTCTTTTGTTTCCCCTTTATTTTTGTCAATGGCCTCTTTGTAGAGAGAAAAATTGTAAATTATCCATATAGGCTTCTCCTAAGGGCAAATCTGTAACATCTCTTCCCAATTTCTGAGTGGCACATATATGGATAAATAAAGGTTGTTGACTCTTGTGGCTTTAATCAATGGAGTACAGTTTGGAATTGGGAGATGTATTTAACCTCATGGCTAAATAAAAGTCATTCTTAAATCATTAGGGTCATGTTTCATTTTTATAATCATGCACACAAAACAAGAAAATACGACCAGTGGTAATACTGTGTGGGTTATTTTACTTTCAAATCAGTCTCTAATGTTGCACAGCACACAGTGAATTTAGACAGCATTTGACCCAGCCTAGAGATGGCTAAAGTAAGTCATTTACTCTTAACCCTCCGGTATCACTGTGGACGTTTTTGTCCATATGGGTCATTTTTCACTTTTCATTTTGCAATAACTTTGGTTATGTTGGTGCAAATGGCCTGATTTTTTGTAACACGGCTATTTTCTCGATCTATCTTGGAATTCCAATTTCAATTCGGAATTTTTCACTTCACTGTGTAACAAATCGACTACGCAAATGAGTCATTCGAGACAAAAATGTCCACTGCAAAATACTTTGATAAAAACATTATATTAAAAGGTTTTTTTCACAACTTTTTTGGGTTCAATCTTTAAAGCAACTTCCGCCCTAATAGAACATACCAAAAATGTAATCATTTTCAGGATTTTAACCCTTTAAATGCCATTTTGAATACATGAAACCGCTGTTTTTTTTCATGATGAAAACAGAAAATTAGTTATTTTCCAAAAAATACATATCTGGGGACTGGCTCTTTTTTTTTTATAACAGTCTTTGAAATGTCAAAGATTAGCAACAAAATAGATTTTTTTGCATTATTAGTTTTGCACAAAATCAGATTGAACAAAAAAGTTACAAATTAGTCATTCGGGACAAAAATGTCCACTTCCAAAAACTGCTCTAAAATGACAACAGATTAATATTTTAAAAAACTTTTTGGGGTTAAATCTTTCAATCAACTTCGGTCCTGATCAAAAATACCACATGTTAAATTATGTTCAGGATTTGAACCCTTGAACTGCCAGTTTGAAAACATGAATTTGCGTTTTCTATGAAAAACATGCACAAAAAGGCAGTTATTTTCCATATAATAAATGTTGGGGGGGTCGGCTTTTTTTTATCACAGTCTTGGATATGTCAAAGATTAGCAACAACATTGATTTTGGTTGATTATTAGTTTTTGCACAGAATCAGATTAAACATAAAAGTCACACATTAGCCACTCACGGACAAAAATGTCCCATCCACTCCCATTATAACCACATCTTTTGATCTCTCCGCCATACCGGTATAAAATCATGCATTTTGTAATGTCAGGGTTTTATATTGGAGGAAAATAGTTAAATGTGTCCTTTTTACTGTAAAAACCAGATGTGAGATTTTATCATTGAATTACATGCTTGTCATTTCTTGGTTTCTTTGCCTGTTGTATAATGGGGCCCTGAGAGCCATTGGAATACATGTATGCAACTAATATGATGTAGGTGTGTTGGTATGGATGTGGAAGAGTGGTATCAGCTGAGAAATGTGTGTGTCTGGATGTACAGTGTGTGTGTACAGAGACAACAATATACAGTAGATTTGGTTTACAGCAAGTCGCAGTTTTCGCCTCATATCTTTCTTTGAAACTGGCAGTTCAAGGGTTAAAATCCTGAACATAATTTAACATTTGGTATTTTTGATCAGGACTGAAGTTGATTGAAAGATTTAACCCCAAAAAGTTTTTACAAATATTAATCTGTTGTCATTTTAGAGCAGTTTTTGGAAGTGGACATTGTTGTCCCGAATGACTAATTTGTAACTTTTTTGTTCAATCTGATTTTGTGCAAAAACTAATAATCAACCAAAATCAATGTTGTTGCTAATCTTTGACATATCCAAGACTGTGATAAAAAAAAGCCGACCCCCCCAACATTTATTATATGGAAAATATCTGCCTTTTTGTGCATGTTTTTCATAGAAAACGCAAATTCATGTTTTCAAACTGGCAGTTCAAGGGTTAAAATCCTGAACATAATTTAACATTTGGTATTTTTGATCAGGACCGAAGTTGATTGAAAGATTTAACCCCAAAAAGTTTTTTAAAATATTAATCTGTTGTCATTTTAGAGCAGTTTTTGGAAGTGGACATTTTTGTCCCGAATGACTAATTTGTAACTTTTTTGTTCAATCTGATTTTGTGCAAAAACTAATAATGCAAAAAAATCCATTTTGTTGCTAATCTTTGACATATCCAAGACTGTTATAAAAAAAAAGAGCCAGTCTCTAGATATGTATTTTTTGGAAAATAACAAATTTTCTCTGTTTTCATCATGAAAAAAAACAGCAGTTTCATGTATTCAAAATGGCATTTAAAAGGTTAAAATCCTGAAAATGATTACATGTTTGGTATTTTCTATTAGGGCGGAAGTTGCTTTAAAGATTGAACCCAAAAAAGTTGTGAAAAAAACCTTTTAATATAATATTTTTATCAAAGTCTTTTGCAGTGGACATTTTTGTCTCGAATGACTAATTTGCGGCGTCCAATCGAATGATACCGGAGGGTTAATGCACTACCTAAATTGGTCCACTTGGTGTCACCACCGTCTCAAATGTTTTGTAAGACCAAGACCAGTAAGAATTGTTCAATTGGGAAACTCCAGACTTGGAGCAGGCAGCAGTGTGTTTATTTTTAATGTTTTAGGACCCTGAACATTCCCCAACTCCTCAATGGGAATTTTACCAACACTGAACCAATCAGTGCAGCCGAAGGTGTGCATTGATCTGTGTGTGGATGCTCTTGGGAATAGTGTGAAAACATCAACATAATGTCAGGAAGCTTACTGCCTTCCCGTACACCACAATGGTTTACATTCCTTCACAGCTGGAGGACAGACTTAAGTTGCCCGTTGAGGGAGACACAGGGTTAAGATCCACCATCATAATAACCTTCAGAAAGAAGAGCCAATCAGACCTCTGGGGGCAGAACCATGTCTGGTCACCATCACTGAATATTTACACTAGAGATAGCACCTTGATATGTCTGAAGCTATGCAAATCTTCAAAGATCTCCTACCAACAAATATATTATAATAAATTGATGTTATTAAGAGTTGTTAATCAGAACGTTCTTGAACTGGGTAAAACAAAACAAATGCTTTAAAAATGTGTTAAAGTATACAGCTCTGAACAAAATTAAGAGACCACTCTAAATATTTATTAAATCTCAATCTATACATGTATGGCAGCCATTCCATTTATGTGTCTGCATTCCAACACAGATAAATGTAGTCAGTAGTTTATAGAATAAAATAAAAATACATTCATTTTACACATTCCTATAAATAGTCAAACCAGAGAAACTGATAATGCTGCAGTGGTCTCTTAATATTTTCCAGAGCTGTAACAACAATAATGCTTTCTGTAGTTAATGTTGACCATAAAATATATATATAAAATCACTTAAAAACCCTCTCACTTTACGTGTCATGCTCCTGAAATCTGCCTGTAGGTGAACTCTGACCACAATTTAGACCATTTCAGTACAACATATTTTTAACAGCACCCTCTAGGGAGCGAGGTCGGATTCAAACCAACCCTGTTCTCGCTTAATAATGAGACAGAATGAAATGCTGGGCTAACAGCAGATATCAGCAATAATATCAGAATCATGATTATGATCATGTACGGGACGTGATTTCCCATCTTCACTAACTTATGCTACATACATTGCAGCATGTCCAAGATACCCGACAGTTTCCATTGTGTTTTGAGCCTTTTGCATTACTTTTTCTTATTGCTGTGAATGTGTTATCTATTGGTTTTTGCTCAGTCTATTTGCATAATATGTTTTATTATTTCTTGCAGTGCAGTTCTCAGGCCCAAGGTATACATCTCTCATTTTATTCTTCTATTAATAGAACATGTTGTTTTACAAACACTAATAGGACAAAAAGACACCTTGGTTGACATACATTTTTATTTGTAGTAACTTGCTACATGATAAAAGAAATAAGTAAATGCTAGAAAATGCTATTTCTGTTATAGACATTTTAACCAATTAAGCATGTAGAGAATGGAAACTGTACATTTGTATCACAAGAAAAGGCTATCATAAACCATAAAATTAACCGAACATACACAAGGTAGTTTGTAAATGAATAAATCATAGCATATTACCTTTAAAATTATTTACAAAAAGAAATATATATACTTACATTTGTACACAGAGCCCTGTTTTAGAAGGTATTTATATGTGAAGGTAGGCAACAAAGTACAAACCTTCCTTTTTGGAAATGTTTTCTGACCAAGCAGCTGCATAGAACTGGAGAGTCAAGCTTGGTTTAGGCCTTTTCATACTGAGCCAAGAAATCCATCAGCTCCCACACAAAACTACGACAGAGGACTCAGGTCTGCTATACGTTCATGACAGGAGTCAGCTGCAGCAGTGAGCTCTGCGGGCGAATGGCGCTGCTCTTGGAATGGAGTTTCTCCAAGTTTTGTAAAAAGCCTCTTCTCTTCAGACCCTCCAGAATGACAGTGTTGCTGGAGGACAAACTGACACGGGTCCTGCAGGGGGGAAAAGAAAGGCATGAGGTTGAGATTTTCTATAAATATACCATTTGAACAAGTTAACGTGTTCATGCCCCCCATCTGTCCACCCACACACCGGGGTGCACAGTGAGTTCAATGTCGAGAAGTTCCTCTTTGATTTATAACATACGAATTTTAAGTGCCTTACTGCAATTACACTCTATTATAAAAAAATACTCCCTCCTGTCCAAATACTGCACACTCTAATTGGACACAAGGTGTTTGTTCAGCTTACTTTAAAGGAAAAAACACAAATTGTGAGAAAGGCCAACCACAGACATGTAACCCAGAGGTTAACTAACCTCAGTACAGTGTTTATTTTGCCTGTCACTAAAGCTCCTCCAGTATGCCGTGGGAAAGTCTGGTGTGGGCTCACAGTTACGGCCCGTCCACAAAGCGGCGTGCGTTGAAAGCTTCACCATTCACTTTGAATGGGGTGACGTCACTTTTCGCCGAACTGCATTGTGGGAAGCGAAGCGGAGCTTTGCTGGCGTGGCTCGCTGCAAAAGTTGAGCAATGTTCAACTTTTGAAGCCTCGGCAGAAGTGTCAGCCAATTGAA